AACCATGCGTCATCAGTAGGCAACTTGCTTTGTAGTAGTGCTTATTTCATGTCCCCCTTGTGAAGTTTGATTCCAGCGCGAACAGTTTTCACTCCAAGGTACATCTCATTATGTATACTATTTCTTCCGATCTCCATTGCCAGAATTCCGCTCGCATTATCCGCAGTTCCGTGTTCGGGTTGGATGAAAACAACAAGGTTCGCGACCGTTTTGTATTCTCACAGAATAATCTACATATCACGAGTATTGATGTTCAGTCTGTGGAACCGGTGGATCAGCGTACTCGAGATGCTTTACAAAAATCAGTTCAACTCGCCATTGAGATCACAACCAACTCTCAGGAAGCAGCAGCACGGTATGCTACCTGTTGACCCCTTTACACCATAGTATGTCATGTATACAATCTTGTTTCTCCCCCCCACACTCATCTTCAACTCTGTCAAAATCTTTAAGGGAAATGGTGTTCACTTTAAGTGTGCAAAGTTAAAGTCAGATGAAGGCAACTAAGCTGATCTCATGTGGGGGAGATCTGGAGTATGTAGACGACATTGTACTGCTTAGTGAAGATCCAGATAAGTTGCAAGCTTTTATGGGCGGTGGTAACGTCACGAAATTGTCACCCCGGAGATGTGTTGGAGTCCCACCATCACCACCTGACTTCCCCTTCCTGAAAATCGCATAGTTGCATATTCAATAAAAGGAAGTAAGATAAAAAGACGGAAAAGATAGTCCGAGTGCTAGTGTAACCATATTCCGTATGCCTTTTGCTCCTTCCAAGATTGGGTTATTCTAGCTAGCAATCTCATCCTAACTGGGGAAGTTGTAGAAGTGGACAAATTTAGCTATCTGGACAGCTATATCTCACCTGACGGACGCGTCACGGATGAAGGGTTGGCACATACAGGAGGCTCGGTTTGTATTTGCCAAAATGAGACATCTGTGGCGCTGTCTCAACATTCGGCTGTCTGTGAAGGGTCGAGTGTATGCTGCAGCAGTTCGGCCTTTTCTGCTTTACGATGCAGAGATGTGACTAATACGGGAACAGGATAAAAATAGACTGCCGGTGTTCGGAAAACCGCTGTCTACGCAGCATTGAACGAGTCTAGTGGGGAAACTGGACGAGGAATGCTCAGACTAGATGCAGCTTTTGATCGCGGTCGTCCACTGGAGCAAGTGCTCCACCTCCATAGATGGCGCTGGCTGGGACGTGTTGCGCATGTCACCAAATAGGTTGCCATGGCGCACGATGTTTGCCGAGGCAGGCGGCAGATGGAAAATGGTCAAGGGCTATCAAACGAAGACCTGTTACGGGGTATGAAAACCCTGACGGGGAGACTGGGTCACAGATGGTGTTAGGTTCCCTGGATGGGGACCCCGGGATCATCGTAACCGGTGGTTAGAGACATTGAGTGACATGAATGAGTGTCGCAAACAGTGGCGCGCGTGCATCCACTCACTATTTATGCAACCTCAGTTTATTTGGATTTTCTATCTTCTGTTTGACCCTGCTCTGAACGTTCCACTCTTCGTTCTACTTTTATACAAATGGGCATCCAAGACTGGCGCAAGAAATTGCATAGTTGATGGTTGTAAAAACGTAAACTGAAACATATGGGCGGACAAAGTAGTTGCTTTTACTTTTGATCGACTAACTCCTGCGTGCGGATAAGTTGACTGGTATGTCTCTGATGATGGCAGCCCACGCGTGACGATCCGCGGTAAGGTTGGCGCAGTGTGAGACCCGGTTCCAGTTCCAGTTAGGAATTTCTTACACAGACTGGAGGCTGAGTAGTTCCATATCCGCCTTGATCGTACTGCTCCAGGTCTTTCGTTGGCCACAATAAATTCTAGTAGTGCTAATGAGGGTTAGGAGACCATCCGACCAATAATAGGTCAGTGACTGCAAGTTGAACGGATCGGTAATAAATCACATTTTTCTATTTTGTATTTGTTCGATTGAGTTAGTGGCACAAAGAGTGTCACTGTCAAGTTAAGGGTTTGGTGAAAATTTTCGTTCTGTTTATTGAAGAGAAATCTGTTAGGTGCAAAGGGGTGTCTATTGTAGACAGCGCGGACAATAAGCGTCTAAATATAGGGAACCGTGAGACAGCGAAGGCATCGGAAAATACCCGAGAAGAGAGGCAAGTTCGCAGAACAGATGGAAGCAAAGGAGTGCGAAGAAGACAAAGAACTATTTGTAACATGCACAAGGGAGGATTCGAATGGAAATACATATTCAGGGACCATATCAAATAAGTGTGATAGAAATTTGAAGGGGAGTTTAGTATTTCCAATTTCATTTTGAGGGGAGGAGCAGTTTTTCTATGTCCAGTGAC